CGCTAGGTATGCTCCTGCCTGCGCGGGAGCGCCATAAAGGCCACATTAAGAGAGAGCCATTGCATCCTGACTCTCAGTCCTCCCTCTCCTCCTATACGCACACAAGACAGACGCGTACAGGAAGAGCAGCAACGTAGGGGGCCCGAGTTTTCCCGTCAGTTATGCGTAACTAATAGAAGGCACACACAGCGTACGTCGAAAGACACATTGGTGAGCCGAAGCCCCCACCCCTGTAACGCCAAGGTATCTGCTAAGCACGTGTCTGGACTGCTAGCTAGTATCTGTACTGAATGAATGTGCTTCGCCGATCTATTAGAAGAACAGTCATACCCAATCTCAGGGGTTGGAACCCCCGAGATTCGAATCCGGGACCTTTGGACATTGAGTTTGACACTCTATCTCGGCACCACGGGCTCGTTGCTTTGTGAACTGAGATCGGAAATATAATTAATGTATGTGCTTCGCCGATCTAGTAGAGGAACAATTAAGTTCCATTTTGCCCAGGAGCTCACAATTAGAGCCCGCTCTGGCAGGTAAATAGGGACTATGAAGATTTGATGATGGAATGGATCCGATTCCCGATCTCAACCAACAAAGCAACGAGCCCGTGGTACCGAGGTAGAGTGTTACACTCAAGGACTAAAGGTTCCGGGTTCGAAACTCGGGGGTTCCAAAACTTGAGATTGTGTATTACTGGCTGATGACGTCTAACGAGGCAGAAATGGACATTCAAGTCCCCCTTTGCTTTCTCGGCTCCATTTCAGTACCTGTACTGCTTGTATGGTGTATCTTAGCTGCTATGAAGTTGAACCTGGACCTGCTTCGAATGTGTGGACAACCCATTATGAGAATCAGCTGAAGAAGAAAAAGGTAGATTTTGGAACGAGATACCAGAATATTAGGCATCGAAACTCTGAGCCAGTGTCGAAAATTCTCAAGCAAGTACTCCGTTTAGAAAAGGACCTAGAAATGACATTTGGATATTGCTGAAAACCACGGGAGAAACTGTAAACACTCGAAAATAACATGAAATTGCACAGGTACTAGCTAGAAGAACAGACAAATGTTTCGCCTATATTCTCCCGCTGCATGGCACAACTGTGAGAGGTTACGCTCATCCGTGGGTCTCCAGCACTGTCTGTGTGGATAGCAAATTTTGGCCTACATCTACAGGCCGCAGGATTTAATTATTTAGTCCAATTAGAGTTAAATTTTGGGGGAAATTAAAAATCTGCCAATTTGCGTTCTCGTGAAATAAAAAGTTGCACACACTCGAGCTTTTCAAACAAGTTAAAATCAAGCTAATTTTTCTCAATATCGAGCCCTCACCACCCTGAAAGCATGCTTTGGATTCCTGTACGTGATGACGCAAAGACCTCCCCACAGCATACCCTAAAAGTAACGTCAAATTAATGGCAAGTCACACTCTGATCGATGGAATTGTAAACCTTGACGATAGTAAACACTAAATATTTTGGATTTTCGGCGAATTTGCTTAATTTAAGTTGGCTCATTTCTGAAAACAAAATCGTGGCGTTCGGCGGGATTTGAACTCGCATAGTAGGGAACGCCTTAACGCGAAGCCAATGCTCTACCAGTTGAACTAAAAACGTTACGCCTTTTTCAAAATTGGGTCAACTTACATTAAGCAAATCTGCCAAACCTCCTTAATAAAAGGTCAGCTTAGTAGTCACTCTGGGGGATCCTAGATGATTGCTTACGAAATCCTGCTTGGACAGTCAGCTTGCTGTTCCGTACTGGTGGATTCCATGTGAGCGGTAAAGTTGGATGAGTAAAATCGATCCAAGTGTGATTAAATTCACAGCGCAAGGCCTGGCGTTTGTAGCTCAACCGCTAGAGCATTGGCCTCGCGTTAGGGCCTTCCTTACTATGCGAGTTCAAATCCCGCCGAACGCCGCGAATTTTTTTCACAATTGCGCCAACTTATATTAAGCAAATCTGTCAAACCTCCTTAATAACAAGTCAGCCTAGCATTCTGGTGGATTCTAGAGGATTGCTTAGAAAATCCTGCTTGGGCAGTCAGCTTGCTGTTCCGCATTGGTGGATTCCATACATTTTCTTCCAACTATTACTGTTGAGAGAGTATAAAAAACATACAGATGAAAATGTTAACGATTCTTACAGGGAAAGTAAATGACGTAATTTAGACCTTTACATTTCGTCGAATATTTGCACATGACACTAAAGTGATGGCCTTTTCGAAGCAAGGTGTGCGGAAAACTTAGTTTGCAACGATGTATATATTAAAACGAGATTGGGTATGATTCTTATCAGTGTTGTAGCGTTGCTTAGAAACACACACAGGCTGTCCAATCGAGCTCCTCGGCTTCCACAGCGCGATAGGGCAAATGAGAAGAACGAGAGAACATCGTGTTTGGTAAAACCATCATGAAAGCGATAATGACCGACGAATAAAGGGTCAATTTGTATTGCCGTTTTTGGTTCATTCAACGTCAGCAGACAGTAACGCTGCAAGTCCAGACCGGGAAAATCGAAAGCTCAAACGTTAGCTCTTTCACAGTTGAATCTTTACATCAAAGGTTCTGCCCGCATCTGTTCCATGCTTGGCCGACGATGGCTAATGTTCCGGAAACGGAAAGGTCGGTAGACCTCAGCAATAGTCCCCCACGCTCATCGCTATACGACCGTCTGTCTAGTTCCCACGTCGAAAAATTCAAGGCAAAACGGAATAGCCGGTAGTGCATCCTTCGGAAGAGATCGGCCGAGAAAGCCACTCAACAAACGGAACTAAT